AAATGATTTTTAATGGCCTAGAATTCTATTGGTATCATACTAATACAATGGAAACCGAAAACTGTCATAAGGAAAATAAAAACTGCTTGATTTTGTGTAGTGGAAAATAGACTGCTTTTGAAGCTCAAAACCCTTCATTTGTCACAACTTTATGACTTGATTATCTTCACATATACGTTATAGGTGGGTGGTAAGACTTTTGGAGTCGTCGGATATAGTTAAGGAGTTGTAAAATAATTGAAAAAATAATTGGATGGTAATGAAAATCTGAAAACAGATTATGTCCATTTGGTTATTTAATGTGATTTCAACATTTATATGTTTATTAGTGATCTCTTGGGCTTAGAAAATAGATTCTAAGGGATACTAGGTTAATGAAAACAATTGGATGACATTGACGTTCATAATTGGACTCGAAAAATACCGAGACTTGTGGGATTAGTTTATAATGCCATCGATAACTTACAATAATGATTTCGTCTAAATTATTTTGACATGAATGGACGTATTTTGGGATTGTGTGTGTTAAGGTTATTAAATGGAGGATTGTCTTTAATATTAGATGGTAATACATGTGATTTTTCGATGTTGAGCGAAAAATGAAACTGATACACTCCGTAGTAGCTTGCACACACAAAGGCGAAAGGTAAGTAAAAATTCATTTACAACTACGATACAAGAACCTGGTAATTGTGATGTGGTAATATTGGAAGATGTAGATAACTTTGATAAGAGATTCATTGCATATTATATCATGGTTATGGTCATTGAGTATGCGGTTGCGATACCTATTGACAGCGATTTTCATTAAATATATCATTCATGAGCATTTTTATATGCATGCACAACATGTGATCATGATTGAAAATCTCGCATGCGAAACATGATTTCAAATTAAGTTTTTTTTATAAATGTTTATTGACCACTACTAAGGCACCGAGACATGTGAGGCATGCTTATTTGATATGTTTGGCATCGCGGGTGATATTTCCTGGGTGATTGCAAAGGTAGACAGGAGATGAACCTTTGCTGATCATAAGAGGGTGGATCGCTCGACTGTTCCCTTATGATATTATGATTATTGGCGCAGTTGGGTGGGAGACTTCTTGGGTGATCATAGGAGTAGTTAGGGAATGGGCCTTTAGTGGTCACGGGAGAATGGTCCACTCGTCGATGTCAATTTCATATTGGCCATTTAATTATTGATATTGATATAATATAGAGCTCTATCTGGTGCATAATAGATGGTTCAAGGGCCCAATAAATGGAAGGTTTCAAATGAAATAATTTCGAGTTGACTTTGATGAATATTGGAATATGATGCTTCTTTATGTGATGTTTAAAGTAGATGACATAGTGGTATATATCGTTATTATTCATATTCATGACATGCATGATTTTTGCTCACTAAGTATTGGCTGATGTAGTTCTTGCATTATAGATGAGCTTGGAACTACATAGAGAGCACGGCTAGCTGTGGAGCTCTTACAGGATTCCTGAGTTTGAAGTACATGGATGATGACCTATAGGGTTATTTTGTGGGTTACTATTTTGAGCTTATGGCCTATTGTGTTGTATGTTGGGAATCCTATGTTATATATCTTTTGACATGGCATGTAGATATGTTTATAACCTCAAAATGTATATGTTTGATTATGACGATATGATTTTAGTTTAGAGACATAGCTTATGCCATTTTATCAAGTGAAAAAAATGTGTGAAATTCTATGTCTAGATTGAGTATTATGAATTTATCGAAGTTTCACTCATGACTCTGGCTAAAAGTTTAGAAATACATAATGAAAATGTAACAAGGAAAATGAACGAAACTAGAATATGATGAAGAGAAAATTGATACTTTCAAATGTTTGGCCAATGGCCCCTTTTATAGGCAAAAAAAAATCCAACATGCAAGTGGACAATTATAACTTGTATTATGTCCAACATAAAGAGAGCTAGCATGTCCAACTAAATATCATTTTTCAGCTATGATGTGCATTTTCGTCAAAAGATGATGTAGTAACCAAAAAAAAAAAAAAAAAAAAACTTTCATAATTGATTGAATATTCATAGCACTAATCAAACACGTTTGAAACTTGGTGGAATAGTCTAGACATTTAACATCAAATTTAAATGCATGAAATGAAATATCAAATTATTCTTTTAATTGTTTAACATGAAACGGTTTTTTTTTTTTAACTTTTCATTTCAATTTATTCAAATGTGTGAGATTTATACATGGAATTATATAAACACTATATGTTTCATTTCAATATATATACACTAAGAAAAAACTTTTAAATTGCTAAAAGACTTTGCATTTATTTCTCACATAAAATACATTGAAATGAAATCTAAACAATTATTCTCTTAAATGTTCAATGAAGGGTTGCCAACATTTTTTAAAAGGCCAATTGGATTTTACATTTCATTTCTTCCAAGTCATTTATACCCTCCATTTATACATATACATAAAATTGTGTTGCCCCTTTTCCATAGTCTAAGGCACTTTGAATCAAAAAAATTTCTAAAGAGGAGGCAAAGAGTACCCTGAATTTTTACATATTGAACACAAAAAGGGTATTCAAACTTCAAGCATTAAGGTAGGGGTGATCTTAGCACATATGTAAGTGGTTTATGAATTATTTGTTTTCGTTTTGCATCAAACTTATTATTGTGTCACTCATGAAGGAGGCACCATTTGGTGGCTCAAATAAGAGAAAGAGATTGAAGGTGACACTATTATTGTATTACTCATGAAGGAAGCACCTTTTGGTGGTTCAAAAATAAGAGAAAGAAATTGACGGTGATACAAATAATCAAAGTTTGCATTTCTGAAAACATATATGTATTTTATCATTTACTCTAGTGCCTTCGTATTGAGTATTATTCATAGTACTCACACCCACTATAATCTCACAGGTTGATTTGAAGCACGGCGGCGGTTTGACATAGTGGTAAGTGCTCGGCAATTTGAAAAACTTTCAACTTTCTAGTAAAATTTCCAAATTATGTAAACGTATTATGAATAATTTTTAAAGATGTTTAAACATCTGTTTCGTTCAGTTTTATATGATATTCATGTCAACCGTAGTTTGGAAACGTTGGTATGTCTATGACCGAAGTTTATTCACTTCTGATTATAATTCCAGATTTTGTCTTTCATTTGAAAATGGTATAATTTGGGCTACATTACATATTTTAGAGTGAAATCAGTGGTGTTTGAAAGGTCTATGAGTCTTCTAATAGTGGCCTTTGGAATTTCCTTAAAACATTAACTAGAGAAAAAGTTATGTCGATTTTGGTAAACTGTGTCATTTCAAATCTGGGTTTTCTGTCCAGCATGTTCAAGAAATATTTTCATGCATCAATCGTTATTATCAAGCCCCCAAATTTTTATATGTGGTACATATATGAATGTTTTAGTCCCTGTAAAAATTTCATAAATTTTAATAAACATTTGCTTGGCCAAATATATTCTTCTTCTGTTGTTGTTCAATCCGTAATTGCTGAATCGCCTCCAAATGTTTTCCAAAACCAAATTTCACCATAATTTTATAAGTTTATATGAATAACTACTTCCCCATTATATTTTTATATATTTTCAAAATCCAAAAACTTTCTAATTTACAAATTACTTTGATTAACATCAAAGGGGTCGAATCAAAGAGGGATCGATTATTTTTAACGCTTGAGTTATCTTTCAATGGTATAAATATCAGGTCTATTGAATGTCTATAACTTTAGATATGGCCAAAAGACTTAGTGTTGCTCACTGATAGAAAAATTGTACACGACAAACAATAACTTAGACTTTGAAATGTAATCACGGATGTCAAAATTTCGCCATCACTAAACACTATGCTAAGATTTTAACTGTTCAACAAAAAATATTTAAGTAGTCGCTCTACCCATTTTTCAAGTTGACGGTTCCTGACACGAATTCATGTTTCCTACTCCGCTGATTCTCAAGTTCCCAACTCATCGAGAGATTCGACTAATCAAATTGATCTTACCCATTAATGAATTAAAGAATCATTAAAATCACAAAAAATTATATATAATCATGTTAAAGGATTTAGATGAAATACACACCGGTCAAATGAAATTTAATTCTCCGCACAGTTATACTATAGAATTAAATTTGATACATGGTCCATTCAATACACTCCAACTGTACTAGTGTCACTTTTAACTATTTATGTGATAAGGACAAATCATAAACTTGAATAATGAATCGGTGAACACTACAACTTTCCATTACAATGTGTCAACCCTTATACGTTGGTTGTGAACAAATTATTTATAATCAAAATATAAGTTGTGTCACACTATACTTTTCGAAGCAAGTGCTCAACTTATATTATCACAAGTGATTATAGACACTTTAATATGTGTGTTCAATGATAAATAATTACAATAAATAAATAAAACCACAATTTATTTATTACATATTATTATTTTATCATAGCAAAATATAGGGATGACAATCGGGCTCGTCGGCTCAGACCGCCCGTGGCTCGGTTCGAAAAAAGCTCGAGCCGCTCGACTCGAGGCTCGGGCTGAACCCCATTTTTAGGTGCCGGGCAAAGCTTGAGCTGACCCATGTGGCTCGCTGGCTCGAAGCATATATTTAAAAAAAATTAATAAAAAAATAAAAGGCAGTGTGCTGCTACCAGAAATGGAGTAGCAAGTTTGGTAGCAACCTACTGCCATTTTATTTTTAAAAAAAAATTCAAAACCAAACAAAACCCTAGCCGGCCCGGCTCGGCTCGGAAAAGCCCGAGCCAAAAGCTCCGATCGAGCCCAATTTTTCTTGCCGAGCTTTTGCTCAGCTCGGCTTGAGCCCGGAAAAAAGTTCGAATATTTTATCCGAGCCGAGCTCGAGCCTAGAATTTCGGCTCACGAGTCTGTTCGACTCGTTAACATCCCTAGCAAAATATAATATATGGCACCAACCTAACAAATTCATCCTCTATGTCTTCAAATTTGAATCGCTCAGTCACCACCTCTCCTTGGATTAGTTGTGCTCCCCATTACCCTCAATAGTTTCAACAATCGTCAGTGTGCTTTGAAATAATTTAACTCAAAAAAATGTCTAACCTATAGGCTTATTTTCACTCCGACCTGTCTGTTGAATGAAAGAAGGGGTTTTTCTTAAAACCCTCTGCAGAACTTTGCTCACTCGTCACCCTCGTAAACCTAACTCTCCCCTCCACCTCCAGGTACCCTATTCCTCTTTCTTCTAAGGCTCCAATTTATGTTTATATATATGTGATACTGTAATTTTTTAAGTTCGATTGTGTGTGCAGATGGATCGATTGGAGCGTTATTGTTACAACCCAACCTTGCGTTGGAATCCCCAAGTTGAGGAATACTTTATTAAAGCTTATGGAGCAGACTATTTTCATCGCATTTCCACAGCTCTCACGTTCGTATCTCTTCTTCTTTAACGTTTTCATCGTTATATGTCTTTGGGAGTTTCTGAACATTATGACATTTCGTTTGGAAGAAAATGTTGTTGGATTAAAAGATTGATTTTTGAGCAGTTAATTCTACTACCCTTTCATATTCCAATGCTGAAAAAACTGCAAGATCAATATTTGGAAGCCTGGAAATTAGTCCTCAAACTTAGAACAGAAAATACATTCCAACCCAGCTGAATTCTATGTTGCCAATAAACGTATTCATTTGTAAAAAGAAAAATGTTAATGTGTCATTGTAGTTAATTCCGAGAAATTTTACTGGTAAAGAAATTATTTAGCCCCCTTCTTGATTTTGGGCTGTATTTGCTTTTCTCATTTTCTCAGTTTGATGTAAAAACCTCTACGTTTTGTTTATTTTCCAGCTCCTGAAACCATATAATGATGGTGATTACTCTGAGGAGGATTGCTTTTTTTCCCCCCTTTTTAACTGCAAGCTAATATATACTCTATTGTTTTCAAGAGAAGCTTGGTCTCAGCAGATAATTTATTTTCTTCTTCGAGGTTAATATGGTAACTATTTTGTAATAGATATTCCTGGGATTCCTCATGATCACTAAAATTAATCAAAATTTAGGATGCCGATATTTTTTTATTTTTTTAATTTGCAGTATCAATATGTTAAGCTCTTTGAATCTATCAATTCTTGAATGGTCATTTAATATCTAGTTTAAATCTTCTTGCTTTTGTCAGGCGCCCATCGTGTTACTCTTGTATACGGGTGAATACACTCCAGTCCACGACTGGTGATGTTATTGAGAAGCTTTTGGCTATTCTGCAGGAGAGGAGGCAACAAAATGGTTCAAGTGATGGAACCAATGTTTGCCATATCTCTGATGACCTTGCCAAGGCAACTTTGGGCTCCAGTGAAACTATTCTGCCAAATAAATCTGTACAAGATTGTTTCATTGAGAAGTGCCAAATACCTAGTCTTGACTATGTAGTTTTTGTCAAAGGTTCGGGACCACATACTATTGATTATGGGCACATAGCAAACAAACCTCCCAAAGAGGTGGTTGTGAGTCGGAAATGTGCTGAAGCAGTTCTTCGTGGTGCCCAGGTAAGCATGAGATTTTAGAAGCTAGGCAGGATCTGTCTTTTCGTTAATTATAAAATCTTTTTGGAAAATGTAACGACCAAGTGCTCTACAAGAGAGGAATTGAGCATTATCACTTGTTCTGCTATTATTTCCTTGTTTTTAGCTTTCATGTAGACTAAAAAAAGCAAAATTATATTTCCTTGGTTACCTTTTAATATTTTATGTGAAGTTGTAGGTACCAGGTGTTTTGACCTGTAGTTTTACTTCTTTTGGTGGAGTAATATTATTATTAAATATTCACTGCATGCAAAATCATCTTCTGTTTATCTGCTTTACGATATTCTACGTAGGTGTATGTGCCAGGTGTTTTAGCCTGTAGTGCTCACGTTGAGAAAGGGGAAGTAGTTGCAGTTTCAGTTGCTGTAGAACAGCCTAGCTCAACTGGTGGATGGGGAGTTGGTTTTACTCGTGGGACTATACTGCAGGGATCACAGACAGGCGAGAATTTCATGTTTTTTTGCCTCCATTTGGTTCCGGGGAACAAATGTACTATCTGACAAGCTTATGGTTTTAGATATTAGTATGCATTCAAACACTCAATTCAAAAGTCTAGAAATTAGAGGATAGTGAACATGGAAAAGTGTTAGCATGCCATATGGCTCATATCCTTTTTTCTTTATTTCAAACAATAAAATGATTATTTATGTTAAGTAGATAAAGTGTTTAAAGCAGAACTGAGCTTAATATAAAGCAGTTAAAAAACTAATGAACATACAAAAAGATATTGTTGAAGTAATTGACATTGAAAATGCTGGATACATATTGCATATTGTCAAAGAATTTATTCAGCTAGATAGGCAATCATTTAATGTAAATTATTACCTTTTCTCATGTGTACCGCTGACAAATTTTTGTCACCTTGTAATTACGTTGTCTTGTAATTATCAGTTTCCTATTTATCACCAATTAGCTAAGATTTAATTAGGGTGTCCTTTCTTTGTTTTTTTTTTTGGTTGGCAATGAAGCTGCTATATAAATCATGTCCAATTACCTATAGTGATTTTTCTAGATGGTAGAAAAGACATGGGTTGGGTTCAAGTCGCTATTACACATTTTAAAAAAGTTTTGCACGTGTCAGACCTTTAATCAATAAACAGCGCTTAAAGATGCGGAATTGAGTAGTTATGCTTTTTTACTTCGTGCCCCGAGGTGCTTTGAAGGGTAAGCCCCAAAGCAACCAAAAAGCAAGTAAAAAAAAAATCTAATTGCAAAAATAGCCTATAATAGGGTGTTTGGTAGGGATTAAGATTAAATTTTTTAGTAGATTGTGATAGAATTTTTGAAATATGTGGTTGAAAAATTGTGAGATCCATAAAAGATGTGGTTAATATTGATTGTTTGACTTTGACTTAGATTAAAATCAGATTTTATTCTCTCCCAAACAAGCTCTAAACCATAACAACCTTAAAAATTCATAACACAATAGAACAATTGCTTATGCCTAAAAGCAGCCAGAAGGCGAGTGAAAAAAATATGAAAATACAATAAAATAGCATTTATAAACCATAACAACCTTGAAAATTCACAATGCAGTTGAACAATTGCAAGTATTTCACAATTCATCATATTTCAAAAAGACTTCTTTAAGACAATTTTATCATATTTCAACTACTGGTGGCAAACCATAAAAAGCATGCTATCTAGTCATGCCCTTGTTTGACTTAGATTTTAATCAAATTTTAATTTGAGTCAAAGTCAAACATTCAATATTAATCACGTCTTTCATGGGTCTCACAACTTTTCAACCACACATTTCAAAACTTCTATCAAAATCTAATTTTAATCTCCACCAAACACCCTCCATTATGTCTAGTGCATACAAAAATTTATTTTTTAACAACCAAAATAAGAGGAGAACTAAAAGCATGTTTAGGGAGTGTTTTTAAATGATTTACATTATAAATAGATGAAAGTGAGTGGTAGCTAAGTGGTAGAATTATATGTTCCACAAAATGTGGATAAAATTGGTTTGAGATATTATAATCCGCTTATAAACATTAGCGAAACATAGGCTAAACAAACACAAAATCAGAAAGGACCAAATAAACAACTTGACAGAAAATTGAAGAAAGAGAAGATCTGGAAAAACAGAAATTAAAGAAAAAATTTGGAGTAGCTATCGCTGGACAACTTGTGGGAGATGAATGGTTGAAAATTTGCATTCTATTTTTTTTATACTTCTTTGTTGTCCTTATTTAGCAGTTATATGCTATGATACTCGAACTCGGGTATGAGTACGTATCTAAGTGTTGGATCCGTTATTTTCTAAAATGTAGGATATGAGGATATGGTTAAAAAGAATTCAAATTTCGAACATGGGTACATGGGTATGTCTTTTAAACTTCAATTTTTTACTGATCAAGATGTCATTTTGAATAGATTAATATCAATCCTTCACAAAGAAGGAAATGAATATTGAATAAGGGATTAAGACGAATAACATAGACTTTTGGAGTTTAGTTTTTAATTATGGGAAGTTAATTATTAAATGTTATATAAAATAGAAAATAAGGGTCTTGATTGCAATTTGGGTTTAGTAGAGCACTAAGTAGCACTATATGAAACCCATTTGCATTTTATACATACAAAATCCTAAACCACGAATACAAAGAGGGAAAGAAGGAAAAAAGGAAGAAAAGAGAGAAAAATGAAAGAAGGGAAAACCTAGCATCGTTGCATTTCTGCACCTTCTTGGAGGTGGTGCTAGGCTTATAGAGAGTAGAAACGGGAAAGAAAAAGAAAAGAAAAAAAGAAGCAAAAAATGGCGAAGTGTCCGGTTGAAACTTGGAGAATCCGACACATTCTATACTCATACTCATGTCGTGTCGTATTCAATACTGGTACATAAACCATTTTGAAAAGTTCAAACATCATAGATTATAAGATTTGGATTGGGTTTTATTGAAATTTTTTAATATTATTTGCTATTCCAGAGCATCTTTAACGAATTGAAAAGATCTTTAACTTAAGTGTGCCCCAACATAAAAGTTCTTAGTTTTCTAAAGATTTAAAAGCTGCATTCAAGGGTGCATGCCTAATGCTCTGTGAGGCATCTACGTTAAGGCTTGTTCCTCATTAATAAGGCGCATACGGCTTCCCAAAGGCATATTAAAAAAAAAAGTTGCATTTAGCACTGACACTTAAATGCATTTTGAAATAGCGCAGCAATGTAACACATGCAATTGACCTAATTGTAAGCATTTGGCACCGACACTTAAAAATGCATTTTGAAATAGCATAGCGATGAAACTCTGTTGTGTGTTACACTACAAAGTTTTTCAAACAAAAAAAGCAGCACATAATGTCGTAAAATAGTGATGCTTTAGTAAATAATGCATTTCAACACATCTTGCCTTAATACGCTGGGAAACAAATTTTAATTATCCCACTTATCATTTAAGGATTATGTTAAATTCTTATGTGTGCACTAGATAAATAATTTCTTCTTGTGTGGGTACATTTCGTCCTTTATTAACTCTTAGGTAAATATCGAATAGGTTTTAGATTTTTGAGAATAGGTATAGTTCCATATCACATGTAGAACCCCCATGCTTCCTTATTTCCTGCGCAGTTCTCTTTGTATCTTCTTGCATTTTACAAATATAACCAGTATACAAATTGTTTTATACTTCAATAATACCTGTAAGCAGCATGTTACAAGATGGGGGTTTGCTTTGTGAGTTGGTCATAGCTTTGGGCCCGTTTGGTTTCTGTTTCAATTTTGAGTTTTGAGTTTTGAGTTCGATTTCAATTTTATTTTATTTTTTAATTGCTAAAAATGCAATTGGTTTGTTATTTTCAAAAATTATTTCTCAAAACTAAAAACTAGAAAACACGTTTGGTTTGAAGTTTTGAAAAATTATTTTACAACATATTATTCTATGAAATTTGATTATTTAGGAAAAATAAAACAAATTTATATTAATATATTATCATGTAATATATACATTTTAAAGTTGGTAATTTTTACAATATTTTTTTCTCGCTATGGCCTACAAAAGTAAAATAAAAATAAATAATAATTAAGTTCAAAATATGGGGAAAAAATAAAAATGAATGACGTAGATTGAAGATGTATTTATTTGTGTTCATTTAAATGTTTATTTTTTTAGAATTTTTATGTATATAATCATTAAGAACTTAAACTATTTTCATTTTTTATTTTTTTTAGAAATTTTTATAATTTCATTATTTTTATTTTTTATTTTTTGAATATATTTTTCTTGATTTTTATTTTTTTTAAAATTTTTTTTTTAGAATTTTATATTTTTATTTATTAAAATTTTTGGTGTTTAAAATTCTATTAAAATAAAATTTTATTTAAACGCTTTTTTCATATTCATATTTTGAGCGTTTTTCTGAACACTCAAAATGTCAAAAATGCAATTTTAGTTTTATGTTACAGGTTTATTCTTATTTTCAAAAATGCATTTTCAAAAATACTAGACCAAGCATGTTTTCAACGTTTGCAAAATTGAAAACTAAAAACAGCAAACCAAAGGCACCATTTGATTAGTTGGTTTTATCTTTAGATGGAAGGATGATGTAACAGATGCATGAGTGCCAGCCAAGTCAAGAAGCGTCTTTTGTTTCTTGTTATGTCACTTCTAGCATATAAAACAGCTAACACAACTGTATCCTTTCATAGGATGACAAATAAGTGACAATAGTTAACAATGTGGTAATATTGTATATAATATTAGTTTCTTATGAACTGCATGGACACTTATAGTGCTGCTCATGTCTAAATAGCTGCACTGAGGCTTTATTTCTTCTTAGACCTGAAATGATAGAGATATCTGGCTTTTAATTGAAATTTATGAGTATTAGACAACATATATCCGTTTTTTTCCTTCTTCCCTCTCGTATATATTTGTCTTCCCTAGTTGCAACTTGCAGTCAATTGTCTCCCTTGTCAATAGAATTCGTCTTTCTAATTCCACTTTAATAATCATATACCACACTACATGGACCCTTGTATTGAGGCTCAAGTTCTCGTGCCGGACACTTGAACAAGGGTATGGCCTGTAAACTTCTTGTCAAGCATGAAATCACCTATGAATCCAAAAATTGGACACATAGCCATGTTGGACACATTTGCCCAAGTTCATTTAAGATATTTCACGAAGGATGTTGGAACACTTTAATGATAGCTTATATTAACTTGTTTGCAGATCCTTATTATTTTGAAAGAAAGGGTCTCTACATTGGCCAAGGAACCACAGTGATGTCCAGAGCTGGGATCTTTCGTGCATCTGAAGGAGTGGCAGTGGATATGGTTCATAGAATCTATAAATTACCTTCCTTTCGTGGTATGCTTCTCTTCTTTTGATTGATCTATCAGACAATGTTTAGCAGAAAACATGAGAGTGTGTGTTGAGCATATTTACTCCATCTATGCTTCAGCAACCTGGTTGTTGGATCATGATCAGAAAAGATTGCCATTTTATTCCTTTCCAAGAGTTTACAGAAAGGATTGAATAAATCTGTCTTGGAAATACTAAATGAACATTTAAGATGTCCAGATCATTTATATAGAATATGGACTTTAAGAATGATATCACCCCGGTATTTTTTGGATTTCCAACCTTGTAAATCTGCACCAATTGTGGTTAGTTTCTTTAATGTGCAGTCACAGTACCATTGATCGATGCACACTCAACTTTCGATGAGCTTACTTTCAGAACAGGAAAGCAGAAATAAAATAGAATCTACGAATAGGGATGGCAATGGGGCATGGTTACCCGTTCCTGCCCTGCAGGGGATTTTACCTCCCCGATCCCCACTCAAGGCGGGGTAATTTGGGAATTTGGCTAATGGGCTTGGGTAATTGGTTCAGTTTTGTGCATAAAAAAGTCAATTGGGGCATGAACACTGAAGTCTATTGAGCGATTTCCAATTTTCAAACAAATTTTGAATTTTTTTAAATAATTAGACAACCGGGGGTGAGGTGAGGATTCCCTGTCCCAGCCCGTCCTAGGGAAGTAATTTTTTCCCTAAATCTCGACGCCGCGAACGGGGTGGGGCATGCTGGTTAGTCTATCTTGTCTTCTATAGCTATGAAATTGAGAAGAAAAGAAGCCCCCCTGTATTTATTGAAATACTTGAACTAATTTAATCGAATCTCAATAGATATATTTTGAATAAAACTCTATTTTACGACCCTAATTAGTAATTCTCTAAATCCTTTCTCTATCTCCATCACTAATATTGTTTAATTCTTTGGGCGCAGATATACTGGAGGGGGAAATATTCCTTCAGAACCTGCCCAGCATTATCACTGCTCATGCATTAGGTATGTTACTAATGCACTATAGCTCTTATATGTTCTATTTAGTTCATCTATTTATGTTTTATTTATTTACCTTTATACGTTAACGCTCATTCTGAAACATCACATCCTTTTCTTACTATGCGTTACTAGAGTTCAGAAACCAGTGTCCTAATCAAGCACACCAAAACTTGATGCCGCTTTGCCATCAATATAAAAAATATGAAAGCAAAAAGTGAAGCAGGCTTAAGTGGCCTAATGATTGGCTTCAAGACATTAAGTATAATGAACCATTCCTCTGTCGCGTTTCCTCCAGTGATTTTTTTGTCCCTTGCTATTTTTTGGACAGATACAGCGTTTAGTCTGCAATATTTAGGAAGCAGTTTAAAGTCCCTCTGGTACAATGAATTCTGAATAAATGAAAGGAAGTTTTTAGGAAACATTTGCTGATGTGTGCTGGAAACTTCTAAAATTTGTCAGATATGCAATTCTTCATCTTTAATAAATGGTTAAATCTTAATACACTTGGAAGAGAAATATCATAACAACGGTATTATATGAAAAATTCAAGAGTTTCAATAATTCTATAGGAAAAAATGATTAGAATGATTTTCCTTGATCTTTGTTAATTTTGAAATTGACTTTATGTTTCTTTTCCATAATTTATCCGAAGAAAACATGTTTGATGATGTGTGTTGAAAATTTGAGAAATGCATATGAGGAGATTGTGAACTGGGTTTAGCCAAGGTGCATAAACTGTGAAATGGAGCAGCGACAAGAAAGTGTTGAAAGTTGAATTACTTTGATAGGGGAGCTTCTTAAACTCCTCAGAAGAAATCCAAAACTGAGAGCATGAGCTTCCTCTAGAGATATATATGATATTTATTGAAACTGAAGTCCCGTAGGACATTCTTGTTTACTTTTTACATGAAGTTACAGCATGTAGAAGGTTTTGACATAAGAGATGCATTCAAAGACGGTATGTTGGATGGTTGACATAACCATGGTTAGATCAAGTAATGTGTCGATTTCAAGACAGAATAGAGGAATCTGGAAAAGAAAAAGGTAAATGCAGAATAGAGGAATCTGCGAAAATGTGATTTTACTTGAGACTCTTGCAAAGACCGTGCTCTTGAAGAGCTTGACACTAGTGAAAGCTAGTGAAAGAATCAGTCCTCTTGGAGTCATCTTCTGAACTTTAGTCAAATCTATTTTCGGATGTTTAATTTTTGAAGTGCTGTCTTCAGTACATCTTTAGCTATTCATAGAAGGCTATTATTATTATTATTATCTTGCCTATGTTTGGCCCCCATTTCTTCAAAAACTCATTTTTTTAAAACTCATTTTCGACCACTCATTTTCCCATAAAATAATTTTACATGTAAATAATTCTTTTCCTTATTTTTTAACCAAACATTCTACAAAAAATACTATTTCAGAATACATTTCCATACAAAAATGGGGCTCAAACACGGGTTTAATGTCCGACAATTAACTGCTATTTCTGCATGTCTTACTTAACTGCAAATTTCTTTTCTCCTCTCTCTCTCTGCATAACACACTCCAAACCTTTTTTCTTCCTTTTTTTTTATCTTCCTTTCCCAACTAAGATGCCCTCGTTGTGTTGTCGTCATAGATCCTCAGGAAGGAGAAAGGATATTGGATATGTGCGCAGCTCCTGGAGGGAAAACCACTGCAATTGCAATTCTTATGAAGGACAAGGGAGAGGTTATTGCAGTTGATAGATCTCACAATAAGGTGCACCTACTGAACTTGATAGGTGATTGTGCACATCTTAACTTTTTTATAATATCTTCACTACATTATCAAAACTCATTCAGTTATTTCAAGATTGACTAGATGGCATGGAAGTTGATATATATTGCAGGTGGCCTGCTATCTTGAAGTGCATATAATTATGATATTGAGGTGTTGTCCCTCCAAAAAATTGGGCCTGTTTGGAGGTGGCACGTTCTTTTTTTATGTCATTGAGTCCTTGGTTTCCAACATTTGTCAATTATCTTCTTTACTGTAACCCCTTATACGTCAATCAGCTCAATTCTTCTCTTCTTCGCACCTTTCTCTTCTGGTTCCTAATATTTTATTGTCAATTCATACGTATCCTGTGCCATATATGTTGCCTTCAAAGTCTTAAACAAACGCAAAGGTTGAATAATTAAAATCCAGCAACAATCAATTTCTGTCCATGGTGATTTAATCAAGTTCTTGCTAACCAATTACCCATCTTTTGTTATCATAATAAAATCATCAACACCACCCCAACATAAATCTCAAGCAAGTTCATAGATTCAAGAGGTTATAAAACCCTCAAAAATAATAAAGAGATACCTCAAAACCGTAAACTATACTCACCTACTTAGAAGTTCAGTTTGCAGCTTCTTGTTTTCTACTACTCTTTGGTTCCTTTACTTACTCTCTCACTTGGACTAATTTAGGATTAAGTTGGAGTGAATATCTTATTTAAGAGGTACATATAAAGTTTTAAAGGATTGGGGTTGTGATACTTGCTTAAGGACTAAGAAAATTGTTGTTTAGAGGCAAGTTTACAAGCATGAGGTGGCTCCTTGTAGTCAAAATCTGATTTTGCACTTATTTTTGGAGGAGTTATAAGCCTTAAAGGAGTTGGGGACATGAGGAATGCTTAGGAGTGCTATTAAAAAGGCAAGTAGTCCAAGCATGAGGTGACTCCTTGGTTTGAAATCTGATTTTGTACTTATCTTTGCAGGCACAAATCAAGTGTTCTTTATCTATTTTAATGTGTTTACAACCTATTTTACTTGCCATAAGATCCCAAAATATTTTATTCAGCTAATTATTTAATCGTTTATTTGATTACTTACCCAATTGATTCTCGACCGATTTCAACGATTTGCACTTTGATATATATAACTTCACATAAACCTTATATTATTACATCGTGATCAGGTCACTTCATTCCTTATGTCCCAAATATGTTAAGGACCTAAATAGAGTTTAGGGTATCCTTGATTAATCCGAATCAAAAGTGTGCAACCTTATCGATAATAATTGCAATACTAAATCCAGAATAGATTTCTTTTAAGTATTAGCTACTAAATCCCGAATAACTGCATTTATAATAGAAATGATAAGAATGAGTTGTTATGTTGCTTCCAATCTGCTTTCTCAAAAATTTAGCTACTTTTGGCAGAATTAGTGCATTTGAATCGGAAATTTCAGAATATATTTCTTTTAAGTATTAGCTACTAAATCCTGAATAACTGCATTATAATAGAAATGATAAGGATGAGTTGTTATGTCGCTTCCAATCTGCTTTCTCAAAAATTTAGCTACTTTTGGCAGAATTAGTGCATTTGAATCGGAAATTTCAGAATAGAATTACAATGTAATTCCTTCAGAATAGAATTACAATGTAATCCCCCCCCCCTCCCCCCGGGGTGTGTGTGTGTCTGTTTATGTGGAATAATGCTAACTCACTCTAGTTAAATTTAGGAATTTGGAACTGACCTATCAAACAAGGCCATCTAAACTGGTTTAATAGCACCACTTATTCTGAATAGCATTACTCTTACATGTTGGTGTGCAACGTGTATATTGGAATGTATATCTGTTCCTTTATACCAAATAATTACAGGTGTTTGAGATCCAAAAATTAGCGGCTGAATTGGGCTTGAAATGTATAACCACATACAAGCTTGACGCGCTGAAATCCGTCCAGCAGATGAGTGAATCTGATAGGAAGGATACTCTACAATGTGGTGAGAAAATTGAGAGCATTGGAATTTCAGATTCTCTGACAGCAGGAATAGAGAAAATAACATGCACAGCTATATGTGGCACACAGGGTGAGTTATATCTTGAATAACACAACTATCTCTGTTTCCGGCTGATTCATTATGTCTTGGATGGTTTAACCCTAGTGCACCCTGTTGCTTTAACAATACATGTTCCTGGAAACCATGTGCTACTTTACTACATTTGGGTAGATTTATATGGAATAGATTTAGGCACTCGAGTGACTCCTTTTTACGTCATTATTCTTCCACCTAATATATGCTACCGGATTAAAAAGTTGATCTAGTTTTTGCGTCTGAAGCTAAACGTTAGTAGGGCATTGTAAGAATGCAAATTGATTAATTTATATGACAAGTTCACTGAAGTGGAAATATAAGTAAACATGTCTCCTCTCTATTTCTAAGTTTTGAAGTTGGCTATCATGTAGGTCTTTGCAGGGTCTAAATGTTGGAGGTTTGAGACTAAAGTCTGTGTCAATGAGATTGAATAAGATTACTGAGATCGTTAAAGAATACGGCTTGACATTTATTTTATCATTATAATTGTATTATATATAAATAGATTGGTTTTACCATTTTTAAATTATAGGTTCACTTAATTAATATTGCAATAAATTGCTACCATATTTAGTGGTGATTTTGGTCCTATATAATAAGAGAACCTCTCACATTGAGAGACATCGAGTTTCATTGAATATTATTCAGTATATTTGACATGGTATCAGAGCAGGTTTAATTTTATTTGGGTTGAACTTGCAAGCTTCCGTTCTCTGAAGTCAAATTTTCTTGTTTTTGTATTACTTAGTTCATGTATTCCAGAGGCATTTCTTTTTTTCTTTTTTCTTTTTTTTCCTTCTTGCCTCTTTGACATGTTGAGCATCACCAAGCATGCAAATCTTCAGCTTGGCCGAGGGATATGAGGCAACTTCACAGGCCCATTGAAATGCTTGTGCTTAGGATCATAGTTTTATTTTTTCAACCCAATATGGAGCTCAATTGTTTGGTTAGGTTTTGGTTGGAGTTATTTTGGAGAAGATTTTGTCTTCTTTTCATTGACCAATTGGAGCAATAACCCAATTTGTTGGTGATGTAATTAATGGTGGTGTCGGTTTTGGCTGTTGAAGGTTCAGGTTACAGATTTGGGCGTTGGCATCGTTGACGCGAACTTGTGGTTGAATCTGCACCTTTTCTGGAAATAGCTTGGAACACCAAAACAGAGTTGTGAGACACAACGGCACGGCCGCTTTCACTGCAAATCACGGGATGCTTCACGCCATTAAAGTCATATGGATTTTATAGCCCGAACAACAGCTTAACCATAATCTTCAACGTTGTAACCAACAGAAATTTCAGTGTCCTGGGATTTTGAGCCATCATAATCAATCCAAGACCACCGCCAATGTCAATGACTTTCATACAAACACCGAGGTGGATTAATTCACAGTAGATTTGGGAAGCTTCACGTACTCCTTCAGATGGTGTTGAACTTGTTGTGGATCTACACTGACTGAAAAAGGAATGGTGGAGATAGGGCCAGCATAATGGATGGTCCTGGCAAGAGATGCGACATCGAATCTGGTATCACCATCGTGAAGAACCCTATCTGCGTTGCCCGCCTCGTCATGGAAAAGTCTCCCCATTCTTATCTTGCATCCTGTGGAGTTGAATAATTTGCTAAACAACAGGATTGTGGTGGAGAAGAGAGGTTTCGGTGGAGAACAGAGGCATCGATGTAGATTTGTTTAAGGACTTGGGCTGATTCTAGTGGGCTTCTAGTTTCTCGGGTTAGCTTTGCAATTAAATCGTTTGGCCTGTCTGTTATTTGAAGACTTTTTTTGAAGTGGGCCTTTTTTTTTTTTTTTTTTGTGTGGGCAGATTTCGGAGTGGCTTGAATTTAGGTGGCAATTTGTTTTGCTTGGATCTGATTCTATTGGGACTTCATACATGGATTGTGTCTATTGGTTTTAAGCCTAGTGGGTTTATATATAAATTATACATTGTTGGGCTTAATAGTTTTATAGGTCCTACTATCATTTGGGGTTATTGGGTTTAAGTGATTTGGTTGTAAACTATGGAAACATGTGAACATAAGGAGCTAATATCTAGTTTTGAATTGCTTGGAAAATTCACTAATATGAAGCACGTGATTTTTGCAAAGGCGCTGCTAACAAAAAGGCTTTTTGGTTGTGGAAAGAGAGACATGGGACTGGGGGTATGCAAGTTGTTGAGTTTTTTGGTTGCTCTGATGATGAGCTAGAATTTTGGATTTTCAGTGGAGGATTATCTTTGAGGTTTTTAGTGTTGGCTATTTCGTTGAATTTCTTCCAACTACGGCATTTTGGTCAGCGATATATTCTTGAAATTTTGGCCGGTGCATTAGCGTTAAAACTTTTGTCGAAACACGAATTATGTGTTCGATTGAGTTCTCCCGACAAATAGCTCATTGTGTGTGTCGACACACTTCGTGAATTTCTTTTGGAAATTCTTCTTGGATATGAGCTCTCTGGAGTGGCTTTAGAGTAGTTTTTAGTTATTTTTGCATATTAATTGTTCTTGGTCTCTCAGCATCACTAATTTTCTTAAATGGTTGCTCTGATTTGGGTTTCTTCTTCGTGGGCACAAGTATTGTCATCATCGCCAGTTTATAACCACATCAATTTGAGGGGTATGTCAATGAGATTGAATAAAATTACGGAGATCGCCGAAAAATATGGTTTGACGTCTATTTTATCATTATAATTGTATTATATATAGATAGATTGGTTTTACCATATTTAAATTTTAGGTTGCTTTTAATTAATATTGGAATAGATTGCCACCATATTTAGTGGTGATTTTGGTCCTGTATAATGAGATAACCTCTCACATTGAGAGGTATCAAGATTTATTGAGTATTATTCAGTATATTTGACAGTCTGAACTTGTACCCTGAGTTCCGAAATTGCAACTTTTGATTAATAATTTTATATGCTAATTGATGCAATCCAGAATCCACGGTCTAAATGTACTATTCTAGGCCTTGGTTTTCGGTCAGCCATCATGTCCATTTTTTTGTTTTATACTGTGATGCTCGGACTCTTCATTTTGGCCGGAGTACCCGTGTCGACACACGACACGGGTACCGGTACAGAATACGGGTCCAATTCTTCCAATTTCAATCGGACTCGGTAGAAATCTTAAGAAAAAATGAAAATTTACCTTATTGGCTGGAGATGGAAGATGTGTAAAGAAATAGTAGGCTAGCGCCGGCGATCTTTGATCCAAAATCTACTGGATGTCTTCCGGTGGAACCCTAAAATCGTGAAAGAGAAGAAGGAAGATGGAAGATGGGGAGACGGGAATGAAAGAAGAGACTTAGGTTTAATTGGAGTTGGGCCATTTTTATTGGGCCTAATAATATGGAGGTGGGTTGGGTTACTAATATGGATGTGGATGGATTTAATTGAGGTTTGGACCATTTTTATTGGGCTAATAATATTGATATTGGATATGGATGGATTTAATTGGAGTTTGGGAAATAGATGAGTGGGCTAATAATGTAATTATTTTTACACCAAACATATTCTAGTTTAATAAAATATTCAAACAATAAAATTAATCATTTTTTAAAAAAAAAATTCAATTCATCATTTTTAATTCAAAAAATACGACAATATAAAAAAAAAAAAAAAATCTAAAAAACAAAATTGAAGTTTGAAAAAGTACCCACGTACCCGTGTCCTAAATTTGGACTCTTTTTAGCCATGTTCCCGTATCCCACATTTTAGAAAATAAAAGATCCGACGCTTTGATACGTACCTGTACCCGATACCCGTACCCGAGTCCGAGCATCTAAAACAAAAGACAAGGAGCAGAAAACTATTAATGCTGCAATTGGAGAAAGATAGCTGGCATTGTGAGAGAGTTCATTTACTATATGGTGGGTGAGATGTTTGTAGCTCTAAGATAATCAATACAGAAATTTCCAATTCTTTATATCCAGTTTGGTCTCCCTGGCTTTTGGCAGACACCTGTGCTCTTCCTAAAAGAAAGAAACCCAAACCGTAATGATCCACAGAAGCTGGGAACTGGTTCTCTTAAGCGATAGTGTAACAAATGTGTAACATTCAATTGAAAGGAAAATGTGTCAACTCGCACTGTGGAAGTGTATGATAGGAGTAAGCACCAAAAAGTAGAAATACATCTAGCTGAACACTGATGCTTAGATGTCTTAAATGTTCGTAACTTATATGCACACCCAATTATTCATGTCAATCTCTTGTAGAGAAGTGGAGATTATTTCCTGGGTCACATGGATTGTTCGTGCTTTTGGATATCTATCAGTGCTATATGACCATCATGTATGTCTAAAAAGATGAATCCTTAATCCAGTTCCAATATTAATGTGAATTGTTGCTCCTTCATTATGAGTCCACTGTTCTTTGAGAATGCGTTGAAAGATAAAAAAGTGTTGATGTGTTTTTGTCTGAGTGTTGTGCAATGTCCACTAGTATGTGGAATATGTACTACTACATTATATAAATCTCTATAATGATTGTGAAGTCTCTTGTTGGATATTTATTATTTTGTGGTATGAACAACTAAGGTAAAAAAAGTGATCTATTATGTCGGATGATGGATATTGCTTGATTTGTTTTCACTATGCTTGTTGAACCTAATGATTCAATTTGCGATGGACTGGATATAGGTGGCCTTGAGCAAATGGGGAATGAAAGTCACATTAGTAAAGCTGAGCTCAGGAAGAATAATCGGAAATTGAGGAATGGACCTGGAAGAAATAACTGCTTAGGTGGTAGAGTTGAAAAGTCGAAAGGATTTCCACCAAATAGCTTTGACCGGGTTCTCCTAGATGCTCCTTGTTCCGCTCTTGGTTTGAGACCTCGACTATTTGCTGGAGAGGTATGGAACTTTGCTCAAGTTTTTCTCATATATCTTTTGCTTGGCATTGGCTCATTGCTTGAATTACATTCATACATTAATGGTCTTGCTTTGTTGTTTACACAATGTAGACTGCTGATTCTGGGGCGCAATGAATCTTAATCATTTTAGGTGTTTGCACCTGCTGTGTTTACAATCTATCTCCTTATATTCCTATCTAACCGAATTGCCGTTCCTGGTAGTGTTATCTCCAAACATTCGTAGGGCAAATTGCAGTTGCCATTCCCGAGCTTTCCCCCACTTTGCACTTTTGTACTCAACCTTTATTTCCTGGTAGTGTTATCCCCAAACATTCATTTTTTAGCGACCGTTGTCATTAATACTGGGGAACCATCCAAAATTTGTGTTAACTAGTTAAGTTCACATCACATGCTTGATAAGGCGAAGGTAATAAAATAATATAAGCAACCTATAAAAGAACTATAAAAAAGAAAGAAAATCTTCTCCATTGCCCCATCACTGCAGTGCCTGGCCTCCATTGCCATTTTCCTTAATAGATCATTTTTTGTTAAATCTTTCAAAGTTGTATCAATGTCAAGTCCTGTCAGTATTTTGGTTGTTGAGCTTTGGTTTTTGCAACTAAGAGAAGGATGTTTCAAATTCAGAACACATGGTGCATTCTTCACATCTAGTTGGAAATGTGGTAAATTCAAAGATGTATCGACCCTCAACACAGCATACTCTTCTATACACATACTCCTTTTTTGTGTAGTAAATTTTCACACGTTGAATTTCTAACTGTTTTCCCTCAAACCAAGAGAATGAAACAGAATATTATTTGCCACCTGTATCAGATATTTTGTGGTTTTTTTTTTTTTTTTTTTTTTTTTTTTTTTTTTTTTTTTTTTTCACTTTTATTTTTTTTTTATCCATTTTCCTTAATAGATCATTTTTTGTTAAATCTTTCAAAGTTGTATCAATGTCAAGTCCTGTCAGTATTTTGGTTGTTGAGCTTTGGTTTTTGCAACTAAGAGAAGGATGTTTCAAATTCAGAACACATGGTGCATTCTTCACATCTAGTTGGAAATGTGGTAAATTCAAAGATGTATCGACCCTCAACACAGCATACTCTTCTATACACATACTCCTTTTTTGTGTAGTAAATTTTCACACGTTGAATTTCTAACTGTTTTCCCTCAAACCAAGAGAATGAAACAGAATATTATTTGCCACCTGTATCAGATATTTTGTGGTTTTTTTTTTTTTCTTTTTTTTTTTTTTGGTTTAATTTATGGTTGCACTTTGATGATTAATTCATTCCAAAAAACACTGCTTAATTTACAAAGAGAAATTAGATTTATTTAAATTTTTGGTCTGTCTAAATCTTTAATTGCTTATTCATGTTTATACCCTCGCCTTATTAAGGATGTGAGGCACACAACTGGCTAATAGATTTTTCGACAGTTTCCATCATCAAAGAGGACACTAGGAAAGTAAGTTTAGGGATAGTGCTGACAAGAATGGCTGGGGACGGTAGTGCAAAAGGAGGTAAAGGTTGGTGATAAGTTCCCCTGTTAACCCACCTGAATAGCTGCTGCAATCTCCAGATAAAGATCTGAGTTCCTTCTAATGATGAACAAGTTAAGCCTCCGTATATGTTAGCAATTGCACCAGTTGGATTTATATGTTCTGTAATGTAACTGATGCTCAATTTCTGAATAGTAATCTGTTATAGAAAGGTTGAATGAACAGAATGGATACTAATTCCCGGCTATTAGAGAGGCCAGGTCTCTCCTATTTCCTTGAACAATGTGTATGGATCCCCCCATTCTACTCCTTCGCCTAATACATTTATACTACTATTTCCCCCCTTATTCCCCAAACTACCATTGATCACTAACTCGAATTGGAACACTCTAGAATATGGCATAACAAACTTGAATGAATAACTTGGGGGTCTATCATTAATTGCCCCCTGAAATCCACCTTGTCCTCAAGGTTCAGCTTATGAATTCATCATACAACCACATAATTTCCTTTGCAAAAACTCCAATCACGATCACCGCAGAAACAAGGTGTTTTCTCCCTTTGAAATGGACGGACTTACTCAATCGAGTGATTATCATTAGTATCCAAGGCAATTCCATAGTCCATTGCCCCTACCAATGTCTAATTTTTTAACACGATGAGCCATGGTGAATTGAATATGCTATCTGGGAAGATAAGTTGGGTGGGTTAGTATAGCTATTTAGACTGAAATTATGGGGACTTATGCTTGGGCTGTAGTTGAATTTATATGGGCCTAAAATAGCTTGGAACTTTTTAAAATGCTCATTAGGGTCCTCAATCCTATGGGCTAGATCCAGAATCTGGCCAAGACATGGAGGCTTTAGAATCTTCCCTTCTGCCCAATTCTCTGTCCTTAGTTGATTGAAAAAATAACCGTCCACTGCCTCTTTCGAAATCGTGAAGGTTACTGGTAAGGGAGCTGCCAACACCACCACGGCCAGAAGTTTCTTATCATTTTGGGGCCAAAAGACAGTTGCGCCGTGCCTCTTCCCTTTCTGCAGATATGGCTGCCGTTAAGCCTTTCCAATATTCTCACCTCGTCTCCTCTTTGCCGATATTCTAGTCCGAGTGTCGCCACCACTTCAAACTTGTGCCAATAGTCTCGTACTGGTCCATCCTGCTGCCGTGACAAGCAATTCTCCCGATTTGAGAACTGATTACCTGCAGCTGATTTTACAGGAGGTCGATTAGCTGCTGGAGATGATGCTCCTTTTGCTGCGTACTGCTTAGATGCTGATCTGCCGTGAATTTCTCTCCCTTTCTTCATCATGAAATCAAGTTTCTCCGTCAATTATAACATACCCTTTTGAATCTCAAATTTCATTGCCCAAAACTCTAATTGCAGATCCATCCTTATTTCCAAATTATTAACCCGATATTTTAATTGCTTTTCTTCATCAGATGTAATACCCCAGGGCCAGAATGGTTGCTCTGATACCATTTGATAAGTTCCCCTATTACCCCCCATGAACAGCTGTTGCAATCTCCATAAGAAGATCTGAATTCCTGCTAATGATGAACAAGTTCCCCTATAACTGATGCTCAATTTCTGAATAGTAATCTGTTATAGAAAGGTTGAATGAAACAGAATGGATACTAATTCACGGCTATTAGAGAGGCCGGGTCTCTCCTATTTCCTTGAACAATGTGTATGGATCCCCCCATTCTACTACTTCGCCTAATACACTTACACTACTATTTCCCCCTTATTCCCCAAACTACCCTTGATCACTAACTCGTATTGGAACACTCTAGAATATGGCATAACAAACTTGAATGAATAACTTGGGGGTCTATCAGTTGGAAATGGTGGTTACAATTTTCCCTTTTCAGAACACAATCCAATCTGAACTCTTTTCCAGCTTGAGTAAGCTTGGTTGACAACATTAAAAACTTTAAAATTTAGAGGTCAAGCCCACAGGGACTGTTATAACTTGTAATTAAAAATGTTTCCAGTCTTAGTAAATTATTATTCTAACCCAGTTTATTACTATGCAAATTCGTTAAGATGATTACAATGGTATCATTTGTAATTATAAATATTCCCCACTGAAATTAGTATTTGGAAAGTGTGTTTTATTTGTGCAGGTTGTACTTTGATTAAAATTTTGATAAATGTGACCATGCTTCGTACCTGTACCAATGATGAGTAAATCAGGAAAAAGAATAGTATATTGTGTCTATTCAGTTGAACTTTCTTATGGAAATCTTACGAGTATGCTCAGAAACTAATATAATTTCCATTGGAAGTTTTGATATGATATCGAAAGCTATGAATCTCTATTAATAAATTAAGAGTGAGGATGGGTTTCTGATTAGTTGCCTTGGAAGTTTGACATGATATTTTGTTAATTCTTAATACTGAGTTCACCTAATAGTAGGATGATTTTGTAAATTTAATTTCTTTATACCTAAACTTTAACTTCTTCCAACCTCCTTCGTTTTGTGTTTTCTTATTTTTATTTTTAATTTAATTTAATTTATTTTTTTTTGGGTGGGGGCAGAATTTTTTTCGTTCGTTTATACATTTTGAATTCTTCAAGCATGCTCCCTTTTTCCTTATTTTACCTTTTGCAATTGAAACTAGTTTTGCTTAATTATATTGATTAACAATTTTAGGAGACTATGGAATCATTGCGGACCCATGCGAAGTATCAAAGACGAATGTTTGATCAGGCTGTGCAGCTTGTGCGTCCCGGTGGAGTTATTGTGTATTCAACGTGAGTATCAGTTATATGTTGTTCTCATGAAATGTGCACTATTCTCTCTCTTCTTTTCAGGTCATGTTACCTTACCTGGATATCAAATTGTATGAATAAATTTCAGTGCTTCAATTTACCTTGATATTTGAAGCTTTTTTAATGTTTAAACTCCTGAGGATTACCTCTTATGTGAATATTGCCTGGTGATTGTGAAACAACAAGGATCTTTTTGGATAATTTAGTAATAGGTTCTTTACTTGTATGTCACCCCCATAGGCTTTTAGATCATTTTCACTGTACAATATACATATTGGCTGTATCTTTACGCGTCTAAATGTAACACAAAATGCTTCATGTATCTATATTAAAGTTAATGCTGGTTTGTATAAATTAAAAATCTATTATGAAATTGGCATAAGAAATTGGGAACCCAATTCTAATGTATCACAACACTGATTTGATTGGTAATAAAACTTCTGCTAAGGGTTTCGTCTCTCACTTGATTGTGCTTCATGTTAACTTGCTAAAAGTAAAGTTTTACCGTTCCCTTTTCATGGTTCTCACGTTCCACAAATTTTTGATATTGTGCATAATGATGTATGGGATATTACACCTGTAGTATCTATTGCTCATTTTAAATACTTTGTTACTTTTATTAACGAATATAATCGTTTTATATGGATTTATTTTCTCTGAGAAAAGAGAGGTTCTCAATATTTCAGGCTTTCCTTGCCTTCATTGATGACCAATTTTCCTTAAATCAAGATCCTGAGATCTGATTTGGGAGGCGAATATACATATAATCATTTCAATCTTTCTTACAAACCAAATGTATTATTTTTCAGCGATCTTGTCCTTTTACCCCTCAACAAAATAGGGTGGCACAACGCAAGAATCGTCATCTTCTTGACAATGTTAGAGCTCTTTTAATTGAATCTTCTATTCCCTCTTACTTTTGGTATAAATCATTGTCAACCGCGGTTTATCTCATCAATCGGTTGCCTTCTCCCACCTTTGATAATGTTTCTCCATATTATAAGCTCTTTAGTCATCATACCACTTATTCTCATTTTCGTCCCTTTGGCTTTATTTGTTTTGTTCATTTACCACCACATGAAAGAACAACTCACACATCAATCTGTCAAATGTGCTTTTTTAGGATGTGATGGGATTCAAAAAGGGTATGTCTATTATGATCCTTTGACAACGCAATAGGATTTCTTGTATTGTTGTGTTCTTTGGAAAACAATATTTCTTTCACCTGAGAGGTTATTTCCCTTCCGGTGTTCTCTATTTTGCTTAATTTTCCCTATAGACTCCTCTTGGTACAAGCTGGGTTTAGTTTACACTCTCAGGCATGTTACACCGGCCACTGCTCTCGAACCTCATTCTTAGATGACTGTCCCCTTTAAACCCTCCTGATCCTCCAATTATACATCAGATCTTTCACCAAATGATGTTTTACCCTCTGTCATTCTTCATTGCTCTTCTCGTGTTTCTCGACCTCTATATAGGTACTGTTTTTCTCCGCATATAGACTGGCTATGGAATGAGAGTGTTGGCAACAAGTGATTAATGCAGCACTTGAGGCTATTCTGGCAAACCAAACCTAGGATGATGTGCCATGTCCCTCGAATGTGAGACCCATTGGGAGTAAATGGGTCTATTCGGTCAAACTTTGTTATGATAGTTCTCGAGTGCTATAAGGCATGGTTGGTTGCCTTGAGTAATCGTAAAGAGTATAGAATCAATTCTGATGAAACATTTGCTTCCTGTAGCAAAGATGACCACAGTTCGCCTCTTGTTATCACCTGTCACTTCCTAGTCTTGATCTCTACATTAAATGGATGTAAAGAATGCACTCTTACAGGGAGACCTCAAGGATATGAAGCTTCCATCTGGTATGCCTCTTCCATCCGTTGACTCTCTTAGTAAGCTAAAGAACTTCGTATGATCTTCAGTGGGCTCCTCGAGCATGGTTTGACTAGATCGGTCCCACTTTCTTGGATTTCTCCTTTACTGAGAGTCAATTTGATACATCTCTGTTTCTTTACAAGAGTACTACTGGCATATTTTATTTGTTGGTATATGTAGATCTTATTTCTGGATCTAATCACATTCTTGTTCAAAAGCTTCAGCTGTATTTTTACTCGATTTTTCATATGAAAAACCTTGGTCATCTTACTTCTTGGACTAGAGGTTCATACTATATTGCATGGTATCTTCTCGAATCAACATGAGTGATACGCTTAATATATAATACGGTGGTTGTAGTATAGATTTGGGGTGTCGTATCCACATAGAGATGGGAAATTATTCAAAGGATCAAAAGCTAGTGTTTCGTGAAGTGTATGAAAATAGTTTATCAATTAGAATGAAATTTAAATATTGATGAGTGAAGTAGTGAAGCGTCAGAATTTTCTCGATTGGTTCGGATCAATCAACGTTAATTACACATTCATATACTCAATTAAAGATTCTTGTCATTAAACTTTAATTGAAAAATATAACATTAAAGCTCAATTTAATTCTATAATAATTCTAAAATATGGATTTCCTATAACATATACCCACTTTAATATATTGAAATCAGATTCTAAATCCACCTTATACATTAAGCATAAAATCGTAGGAAATCACACCAATAAGATAATTGAAATTGAAATTCAACAACTAGTTTAATTTCACAATAGATAAAACGTGATTGAATCTATACGAAATATAATAAATGTTAAACCATTTACAACAATGCTTGAAATTGAAATTCAATGCATACTTGAATTATTCGATGGAAAGAATATGATTAAGTCCATTAAAGTCTAATACATATTAAACAAATCTCAAAACATATTTATATGAACAAGAAATCCAAACCTAGAATTGTTTAGCAGTGGAAACCATATTACATGCATGAGAAACGTTGAAATAACCGATGCCAAACGAGTTCCTCCTTGCTTCACCAAAGATTTCTAGCCTTCCATGGAGTTTTTTGGCCAAAGATGAGAAAAAAATGGAGTCCAGATTCAATCCCCCACGTTCTGGAGTGTTTTTGGGCTTAAGAAATGTCAAAATGTGTTTCCATAAGCGATGACGTCAATTTAAGAATTTAGCAAATTTAGGCTCGGAGGATAACTATGCGACCGCATGGTTATAAGCCATGCGGTCATATAGAACAAATGTGTGACATCCAAAAGTTCCCTGGACCCTTCTATGTGGTCTCACATAGTTCAAAATTTTTTCCGCCGGACAGCTTTTAGTATTTTGGTCATAACTTTTCCTCCCGATGTCCGATTGAGGTGATTCAAGTTGCGTTGGAAAGCTAACACGAATGGCTACAACTTTTCTTTAGAAATGATCTTCCAATTCGATCATTTTCCATGTCAAAAAGGGTCTTAACATGAGGCTGAAAACCGGTGCGTAACTTTTTCAATTGGGAATTGATTTGTGAAGATGTTATGGTCATATTTCACTTCTTTTGACTTCAATTTACACCCAATTGACTCCTAGTTTTCTTGAATCATCATTCCATCACCCGTCTCATTATGGATTATTTGCAACTTGGTCTCTAAACTTTCACTTTCTTCCACTTTGGTCCTTTTTACTCATTTCTTTCAAATTTCACATTTTTCATCAAATTACGACCTAGATCAAAACATAAGAGTAATGAGTGTATTTTGAAATCAAATAATCATACGAATGCAACAATTAAGAGGGGAAAATATCATATTTTACACTCTTATCAATGAGTATATTTAAGACTTGATTATGTTGGCTGATTTATCTGATGCTTACTTGGTTGATACTCCATTAAAGCTTAATGTTAAATATCAAAAAGACGAGAGCTATATTCTTCTATATCGTACTTTTTATTGAAAGTTGAAGGGTAATCTCATCTATCTCACTATCACACATCCGAATATTTCCATTATAGTGCATACTGTTAGCAAATTTATGGATGTTCTTCGTCATCTTCATTTGGTAGCTTTCCGCTGCATTCGCAGTCTTATTGGGACTTCTCATCGTGTTTTGTTCTACCCTCGTGGGACGCCTCTTGAGTTCGTAGCTTATAGTGATGCTGATTGAGCTGGTTGTTTTGATTTTCGTCGATACACTACTAGGTAGTGTATCTTTCTGAATGATGCTCTCATTTTTTGGAAATGTGAGAAACAGAACTGTGTTTATCCTCTACTAAGGCTAAATACCGTGCTATGTCCATCGAGTGTTTTAGGTTGTGTGGCTGCATGATCTTTCTGCAGAACTTGGTACTTCTCACAACCTACACCTTTCTATGGCAACGCTTGTGATATTCAAATTGCGGCTAATCCGATGTATCATAAACACATCAAACATATTGAAGTAGACTGTCATTACATCCGGGACGCCTATGATGCCAAAGTCATCGATCTTCCACATGTTCCAATAGTCAAAAGATATTGGATATCTTCACTAAATCTTTGACTCGTCTTCGTCATTATTTTCTTGTTAGAAAATTGATATTTGTGGACTCATCATCATCAATTTGAGGGGGTATTATTAGAGGCAGTATCAATTTGCAGGCTAATCTACAGGCTTATTCTAATTTGTTCTCTTATTTAGCCTAGACACATCACATAAAATCAGGGATTGATTTCCCTATTGTACAGCTAATTGTTTCCTTGTACATTTCTGTAAATACTGGAAAATTATCTAGCAAAATTGGCACTCTCTACCTTGATTGGTACTTTGTTATACCAGCATAAGTACAACCAGGAGTTAATTACTTTGTCTGGCCTTTAATATGGTCGTTCTGTTGATACTCAGTTTTTTACTTGCATGAAATCCAAGTTAGTCGCCCATTACACATGGTAGGAATTTTGTATCTGTTATTCTAAAAGCCTTAAATATATCTTCTTTTAATGATTTTGTCCTCAATCTTTTGTCAACTGATAAAATTTTTAGATCCATGAATTTCAGATACATTAATTTAAGAGTAATTATTCATCATTGATTGTGTTAGTGACAACTACATAACATTAAATGATATATTCATTTAAATGTAAAATCACATGACTCATTTAATTGAACCTATAAAGTGTAGTCACCTAAATTGATGCTAGATTGCATTATTCTTAATTTAATCATTTTCCAAATCCAAATCCAAATCTTTGTTTGCAAATGAAATATTGGGTGGAAAATCACGTTGAATACAAGGATAGATGATATCTAGATTAAGAATCCGCTCTATGTTAATATCATTCATTTGAATAACCGGACTAATGTTGGGATTTAAAAACTCATCCTTGTCTGATGACACAATTAACTGATTAATAAACTCGTGAAAAAGGCTTCATTCTAAAGTGGATTGGGACCAGGATTTATATCATAGCCTTGTGCACCGATGTAGTCTGTGGTACAAATTCATAAACCTAACCCCTCAAGCTCTATGTGTCTCTTGGATATGTGATGGCTGGTCAACATGCACTACAGAAGCCAGTTGAGTTTCTGAAAGGTTTGTGGTTTTATAGGATACAAATTGATAGTATCTTCGTATGTTTTATTCTTCAATTTCTACAATCTGAATGCTCTCGTGTAATGTTGTTGATATAATCGTTTCTTGAACAATGCCTAGAACATCATCTGTTGTGTATTCCTATACTACCCCACATGTTCAAAAGGACATGACAATCAACATTTTCATTACTGCAGATGCACAATAAACCCTGGTGAAAATGAGGCATTGGTTCGATATGCATTGGACACATATAAGTTCCTCTCTCTGGCATCACAGGTTAGACTGAAGTTTAAAGCCCTACATAGATCATGACTAACTGATTTAGTTTTTGGATTAATTCTTTGCAAGCATTTGTTGGACCATACCAGCTGTTGTGCTTTGTTTGACAAGGAACAAAATTGCTGGCAACGCGTAGATCGCCAAGTTGGCTGCATTCATTCTTTCTGTGACTCCATCCTCAGTGAGCGAATGAGTTTAACTTGTGTGTTTGAGGTTATATCAACCAATTGGTCCCTGAATAATATTTATGATTGGATATGGTAGGAAAGTGAGCCGATGAACTGGACCAGCCTGGCACAGTACATGTGCCAACCCTGACCTCCAACACAGCTGGAACTATAGTTGAATGGCCGGACCCGGCCTGTTTGACACCACTAACTATTACTGGACCTCACTTTTCAACAAATATAAGGAAACGGAGAGAAAATACATGAAATGATCCTGAAGTCAACTTACTTTCTGAAAGCTTAATGTATGGTTCTGCCCTAATTTTGGAAGTCAGCAGATTGATTTTCCATAATTCTGTGTTTTGTATTCCATTCTGCAAATCATAGATCTTCTAATAAAAATAAAGTAATATTATTTTTAAGGGCTTTTACCCGTTGTCCACGAACCATTGGCCCACGCCTGCCCAGCAGGAGATGCTTGCTTGGAGGATTCAACTTCTATAATTCTTCATTTTCCTGATGTTTGTTCCGTAATTCACTGCAGTTTCCAAGAGTAGGGGGACCTGGCCTTGTTGGTGGTTATCAATTTTCTGATGAATATAAAGAGTAAGTTCTTCTTTCATGGAACTAGAAATCAAATCAAATCTCTAGAATTAAGATGAATTCTCTTATATGCCAAATGATGCTCACGAAAAAGTCAATCCGATCAAGGGAATAGATAATCAAGATTGTTGCTATTCCAGGACAACCCATTTCTTTTAATTTTCTAGTGTCGATGTGTTATTTTTTGGGTGGTTGGTCAAAGTAGAATGTCTTAAAAGAAAAGAAAGTTTCATTTGGATGAACATGGAGCTTCTAATCTACTTGAAGTCTAACTCATATGAAAGAGTCGCAATCTCTAACATGTAATCAAAAACCATAAAACATGCAATGCTAACACAAATTTATAATAAGTAGCTTAGTGCTGCAATATTTTTTATGTTCAACCACTTGATCTAGAAGCTAAGTTGTTAGAGAGGGTCAAATGTTTATCATTTAAATTGTAAGGATTCATTTTTTTCAAAAGCCTGATATTTGAGCAGTTCAAATGGATGGCGGTAAGACTTGAACCTACCATATTATGACTTAGGGATCCACCTTAAAGGGTTAACCTTGTGAAGAGGACTAGTCCGAGCCTTTATATGTTGATGTACATTTTCATTTTCAAGCATCGCCTTTTATGCATTTCCATTCTCTCTTTTCTTTTTGAAAGGTTCAACACTATAATTTTGCGCTGCTGTATTTTTAGCATTTTGTTCTCTTCTAACATTTTGCTTAATAATGCTGCTAGTATTTTCATGCTTAATTTTCAGGGAATGGTTAAGACATGGTGAGGAAGATCTTGTTCAGAGATTTGATCCTTCGTCTCCACTTGATACAATAGGCTTTTTTATAGCCAAGTTCAGTGTTGGTTCCAAAGATGTCTAAGCAGTTATACAAAACTAACATGGCTTGGAGGATTCCGTAATTCCTCCTCACTTTGTCGTCGTGGTTTCTTCATCAGAGGTCACGTGGACTTGAGGGGCTAATTTTTTTCTGTAATTTTCATATTTACGTAAAAGCTAGAACGGAAAAGGAGTTGATACTTGTGCTCAATATGTTCTTCACTGAGCCTGGAATATGTTATGGAACTAATTTTTTCTATTTTCCAAGATACATAATCAACAGGAATGTTGTACTCACTAATCATGATGATATTTATGCATCATGATTGTTGTTTTCCATGCTTTATATGAGATATTTGCTTTGAACTTGATATGTAGCTAATTTGGGGGAAGAAATTTCATTGAGAGACATTGGAGGCTTGGCATCAAGTAGGAGGTTATTAGTTATTTATAAGTATTAGAACATCTCCAATAGACTCGTTAAACGTTAGATGCTCTCTATTTTATAGAGTCAATTCTTAAAATTATGTTCCAAGAGGTTGTTTAAATCAGCAATTTTATTTGAGGAGTGAGTTTGGTTTTCTAAATTTGAAGAGCTAAATCTATTCGCTATGATTAAAAGGAAGTTAATAAAAATAAAAGATAAGAAAAAAAAATAAATATTTTTTTGAAGTAGTAAAATTAAGTGTTAAATATAAAGAGTTTGTCGAGTAATTAAAAAAATTTTACTCTCCAAATTATAGGATATGTTTTTTAAAAATAAAGAATTTTTTGAAAATGCTCTTAGCAGTTGAATTGCTATTTACTAGTCATAGCTGATTGTATACTTCAAATGAGATTTGTGCATCTGTGGCTTTTTTTTTTTTTTTTTTTTTTTTTTTTCAACATCAAAGGTTGAAAATAAAAAATAAAAAAAAAAGCCCTTTCTGATGTCTCTATTATATGATGAAAAGAATACAACCAATATCCATGTTATTGGAGCACTTATTATAGTAAATGTAAAAATAAAGGGACACAAGAAATAGCAAATACATCCATAATTTTTTGAGGAAACATCAGTGCATGGCTACGGATATTTTTCACTGATAACCCGAACAAATTTCATAATCGAAATCACCAACCGTGATCAAGAGTTTGATGTTCCTCAGCCTTTGTTTGACAATTATTATAGAAATTGGAATTTTGAATAATGATTTTAGGAGAACGTGTGGTTAAAAAGTAGAAATTTTTTTTTTTTTTGATTTACATGTTGATATTTTATTGTGTGAATAGGTAGTCGAAAATGAATATATATAAAATAAAGGTTTGAAAATAATGATTGTCAAACAGGGGCATAGTAACATTTGTGGTGAAAAATAGAAGGCCCAATTTTATCGAAATATACTTTATATTGGAAAATATGGATCGTGTATCATTCATGTGGGGTGACCCAACCTACAAGATAATAAAGTGAGTTAGAGGGAATGGTTTGAACTTGGAATTCTTGGAATTCAAACCTTCAACTCCCTATAATCTCCCTTAACTCCCTATATAACCTCCTATTCATTGTTTTAGGAAAAATGGGGAGAAAAACATATTACAATATGGTGAAATTCGTATGGAAAATATCACCAAAATTGAAAGGCACATAGAACCACTATTTTAACCAAAAAAAAAAAAAAAAAAGGTCACAAAAATTAGTACTTTGGTTGTGACTAACAATCCACTTCTATTACGATCAGAATTTGAGACCACTAAAGTGCAAAAAATTGTAGTTTTGTAGTTTTTGAAAGTAAGGTGATTTAATCATTTAAAAGATATTGAAATTCATCATTTCAAGGAACTGGAGTAAGTATCTTGAACTAAAATTTATGTTCAAGTACGCATTGAATTATTACGTTGGTATCATAGCCTTAAAGGTTTTCCTTGCATGTAACATGTTAAAAATGGTTTGATATGATGAAATGCAAGTATGCCATTTTTCTCCAAAGCTTGAGCACCTTTTAATGGCAAGTTATGAAATACTTTACATAAATTCATGAAATTTATACTATATATTCGTGTTATCTTGTAGAACATGTCTACAAAATTTGACATCATTTGGGTTCGATTTGAAGAAAAAATTGAACCCTATCATAAAATTGGGAACTTTATTACATGATGACTTCTTGTACGTTGAGCTTCATGCTGTCCGTTTGATATAGTTAGATATATCTTCTTGAAATTTTTCAATGGTAAAAAGATCATTAATTTTAATCTTGAAATGAAGAAGTTATGGCTTTCCGAAATTTGGATGAAATTCTATTTTTGTATGAAAATTATTAAAATTTGAAACTTCATCACTTGATAACTTCTTCTGCACTGTATTTCATGCTTCTCATTTAGTATGATTGGATAGGACTTTTTGAGACATTTTCAACGGTATAAAGATTGGCCTTGTAATGAAGAAGTAATGACCTCTTGAAGTTTGGTCGAAAATCTAGAAATTTTGCATGAATTTTTTGCCATTTTCACTCTTGGACAGATCTATTGATGTCGCATAAACTTATATATTGGTTGTCAACAAATATTTTATGATTAAAATATAAATTGTGTCACATTGTACTTCTTAAAACAAGTGCCCAACTTATATTATCACAATTGATTAAAGGTACTTTAATTAACATACTTAATAATAAATAATTGTAATAAATAAATAAATTCATAATTTATTTATTATAAATCATTATTTTATAATAGCAAAATATATTATATATGGACACACAATCCAACAGAATTTGCCTTTAGGGATGAACTCTACTAATTTATGAAAGTTTGGTGAATAAATGTAAAGAAAGAGGTTTGCAATATATTAATACTTTAAGCCCCAAGGGGAGGGTTCCAAAAGGATTTTTTTCAGGGTGCAGGAAAAAATAGACAGGCTTCTTACAGTTGTGTATTACCTGTAAAAAAAAATCTATGAATGATCCTAGTGCTTGTAGTATCACTCTTTTCAAAATGTGCAACTTATCGACTATTTTTGAACAAAAAAATTGAAACATTAGTACCTAATCTATTCACTAGTGGCAAACAGATATCAATCTATTTTTTCTTGACATATAACTCCTTAATCTATAGACTATAATCAATTGAGAAATCATTGTTGGCTCCAAAGTTATGGCATATTCACATTTCTATCCTCAAACTCACATTTCTTGACCATGAGGTCCCAAACCTATTGATTCCATAGAAGCATTGGTCCTCGATGACAGATTTCATCCATTTTACTATAAAATGGTTAAGTTGTTTGTATCAAAAATAATCTTATACCCATATTAAAAGTTAAAATACATAAAACATCATAAACAATGCAAAAAAAGAAACAAAGGAGAAACGTAGATGGGGTTGGACATTTTACTTGCCAAACCATGAAAATCGATTTGATTGGAACCAAGACAGGTCGATTAATTGACTTAATGAGTCCATTTTTTGTTGAACTAAGCCCAACCTGAAAACTTTGGTTTGGTACTTCTTAAAAGATTTTCTAAAAAGTATTTTTAATGTTGACATTGAAAAAATTAATCGATTCGGATCTAAATTAAGAATCCTCTTCTTTGTTGAAAACCTCGATTGTGAAACACATCTGGATAATGATTGAATCACAACTCATTAACTTTTTCGAAAACAGGACTGCAATTTTTTTTTTTTTTTTTTTTTTTTTTTTAAGAAGAGGGCGGTGGCGGTGGCCAACAATGTGATTGTGGGTGGGTGTGGTTGGCAAGATGGTCGAGGTTGGGTGGGAAAGATAGAAATTATGGGTTTGTTTCATTTTCCTTTTTTCCCTCATTTTACTATTAAGGTTGAAGTTGTCTTTCAGAAAATGGATTTTGACTTTTAAATCTTGAAATAAACAGGATCTATAATAGATGGACCAATATTGTTAAACAATTGATAGGATAAGAACAAAAAATGTAACAGGACAAAAATGAAACAAATCCTATAGTTTGAGCACTAAAAGTCCAATTTCCTTTAATCTTTAATACCCGTACCACGCATTTTTTCCATTTTCGAATTTACCAAAGCCCTTGAACCCTCTCTCACAGTACGCACACGTAGAGCTAGTGCAAGAGCAATGTTCTCTCCTGCTTCAAGGAAATCTGGATTCAGTTCTCGGAAAAATGTCCCTGTAACAAATTATGATTCACCGGTGGCAGTGACAGAGAATCGAAGGCCACTCCATGACAGTCCGATCACAAATCGGCCGGCAACTGGCACCCCTGCCCCTTGGGCCTCTCGCCTCTCTGTCCTTGCCAGGTTTTACGCATATAATTTACTAAAAAAAAAGGAAAAAAAATTATATATTGTGAATTGTAAATAGGGAACAACAATTGGAAACTGTGTTCGAATGCCGACAATATGCACGTATTATCGTATTATTAGTTGTTTCATTTTATAGTTATATATTTGAACTCGTAATGGCGTAGTGTCTTCTAAGATGGTAGAGAGAGGTACAACTTCTAAGACACATGGTACAAAAATTCCTGACAGTTGGGAGGGACATCCATTTATATGTATATAAATGACCTCCGAGGTAAAGAGTATTATCTGCTTGACTGGTTTTTGAATTTTTTGTTATCTTTGTTAAGTAAGAAGTGGATAAAATCAACCAGAGATACCTCTGCTTGTGTATGTGAATGTTGAATGTTCTTATTCACATACATCTCAATATGCCTGTATGTATTTATAGTGAATATATTAAGCAACTGGTGACCGAATAGCAATTCATAGGAAACCAGATCAAGTTATTAGCATTGCACAGGTTTGAATATTATGCGTTATAGGTTTACTTACACTTTTGTATGAATACTCGTTTTTTGGCATAATTATTTTGCTGGCAAAAATAATGGAACTTGTGATGATGTGGTTTTGTAGCTGCTGCTTATATACGATCTTGTGTATTTTCTTGACTTGGTTGAGTGTGAAGTTAGAGGGTAGGTTTGTGTAATAACATAGAGAACTTGTGGGATGGGAAAGTAGAAGTTCTTATGAAAAATAGAAGAACGTGCTTATCAAATTTATTTATTTTTCATTTATTTTTCAAACCCCAATTTTTCGTCACATTTTTATGTTTAAGGGAAGGTTTTGACAATAATTGGAAACAGATTCTTTTGGTTGGTGATGTGGTAATAGTTACTGTTGATTTCCGTTTTTCATCTCTTTAATATTGCGCATAAAATCCAACAACTGGTATCAGAGCTAGGTTCAGATGGCGAGTTCTTCGATTGCAAAATTTGATGTGATGAAGTTTGACGGATTTGGGAACTTCGGATTATGGCAGCGAAGGGTGAAGGATTTGTTGGCGCAGCAAGGGATGATGAAGGCACTATCTGGGAAGAAACCAGATGGTACGT